TGTGGTGTGTGGTGTGTGGTGTGTGGTGTGTGGTGTGTGGTGTGTGGTGTGTGGTGTGTGGTGTGTGGTGTGTGGTGTGTGGTGTGTGGTGTGTGGTGGGTGGGGTGTTGGGTGGTGTGTGGTGTGTGGTGTGTGGTGTGTGGTGTGTGGTGTGTGGTGTGGGGTGTGTGGTGTGTGGTGTGTGGTGTGTGGTGTGTGGTGTGGGGTGTGTGGTGTGTGGTCTGTGGTTTGTGGTCTGTGGTCTGTGGTCTGTGGTCTTTGTTGAGTGCGTGTTGTGCGCGTGTGTTGCGTGTGGTGTGTATGGTGTGTGGTGTGTGTGTGTGTGTTGTGTGTGTGGTGTGTGTCTGTGTGTGTTTGAGCTTTGTGCGTGTGCGTGGTGTGTGTGTGTGTGTTGTGTGTGTGTGTGTCGGGTGTGTGTGTGTGTGAGATGTGTGTGAGTGAGATGTGTGTGTGTGTGTTGTGTATGTGCGCCTGCGTGTCTGTGTGTGTGTGAGGTGTATGAGTGTGCGTGGTCTGTGTTGTGTGCGTTTGGGCTTTGTGTGTGTGGTGTGTGTGGCGCGTGCTTTGCTGCGTGCGCGCACTGTCGTGGGTGCGCGGGTGCGTGTGGTGCGTGTGGTGCGTGTGGTGCGTGTGGTGCGTGGTGCGCTTAGCGTGTGTGTGTGTGTGGTGTGTCGTGTCGCGCGTTGTGTGTTGTATGTTGCGTTGTGTTGTGTTGTGTTGTGCTGTGCTGTGTTGTGTTGTGTTGTGTTGTGTTGTGTTGTGTTGTGTTGTGTTGTGTGTTGTGTTGTGTTGCGCTGTGTTGCGTTGTGTTGCGTTGTGTTGTGTTGCGTTGCGTTGCGGTGTGTTGTGTTGTGTTGTGTTGCTTTGCGTTGTGTTGTGTTGCGTTGTGTTGTGTTGCGTTGTGTTGTGTTGTTGTGTTGTGTTGTGTTGTGGTGTGGTGTGTCGTGTTGTGTCGTGTCGTGTTGTGTTGTGTTGTGTGTGTGTGCTTGTCAGTGTTGTGTGTGCTTCTCTGTGTGTGTGTGTGCGTGTGCGTGCACGTGCGCGTGCGTGCGGGTGTGCGTGTGCACGTGTGAGCGTGGGCGTGGGCGTGTGCGCGTGCGCGTGCGCGCGTGCGCGTGCGCGCGTGAGTGTGCTCGTGTGCGTGTGCGCATGTGCGTCTGCGCGTGTGCGTGTGCGCGTGTGCGTGTGCGCGTGCGCGTGCGCGGTGATATGTGTGTGCAGCGTGTGTGTGTGTGTGTGTGTGTGTGTTGTGTTGCGTCTTGTGTTGGTGTTATGTGGTATGTGTTTTGTGATTTGTGTTTTGTGTTTTGTGCTTTGTGCTTGGTGTGTTTGTGTTTTGTGTTTTGTGTTGTGTGTTGTGTGTGTGTCTGTATGGTGCATCGTGTGTAGCGTGCCGCGTGTTGTGTGGCGTGCCGCGTGTTGTGTGGCGTGCGTGGGTGTGTGTGTGTGTTGTGCGTGCTGTGTCTGTATGTGTGCTGTGCTTGTGTGCGTTGTGTATCTGTCTCGCTTGTCGTATGTGCTGTGTGTGTGTCTCTGTGTGTTCGTCTTCGTGTCTGTCTGTATGTGCGTCTCTGTGTGTGTGTGCTGTGTGTGTGTGCGTGCTCTGTGTGTGTGTGCGCGTGTGTGTGTGTGTGCGTGTGTGTGTGTGTGTGCGTGTGTGGCGGCTCAGCGCGTGTGTATGTGTGTATGTGTGTGGTGTTGTGTGTGGGGTGTGGAGTGTGGTCTGACCCGCGTGGTGTGTTGCGTGTTTGTGTGTGTGTGTGTGTGTCTCTGCGTGTGTGTGCGTGCCTGTGTTTGTTTGAGCGTTTTGGTCATGGCTATGTTTGGGTTTGTGCCTGGGTTTGGATTTGTGCTTCATTGCTTTCGATTGGGAATGTTGCACCAGTGTTTACGTCTGTGTCTCACTCTGTTTGGTTTGTTGCTGTGTCCGAGATGTGTTTGTGTTTGTGCATGGTGTGGTGTGTGGCTTGTGGTGATGCCATGTGCTGCGGTGTGGTGGAGTGTGGTTTGTGTGTGTGTGTGTGTTGTTGTTTCTTGTGTGTGTGCATGTGCAGGATGTGTTGTGTGTGTGTGTGTCTGGGTGCGCACCGGTGGGTTGACATGGTGATTCACCCTGAATCCTAAACCCTAAAAGTACACCGTCCACTTGGAGCCGGCCAGTATACTATGACCATTTCAGCACCGACTACAACAGTTGCCCAATGTTGGACCCTATCAGTACTGCCTATCCCGCTTACATCTGACTGGCAACTGTCAGTGCACTATGTGCAATCCTTGCTCCTTGTGCTGGCCAGCCTCAAACAAATGTGAAACAAAATGGTACATCTCTTCATGATTGTTCGAGCCTGGCCACCCAGACTGCAAGGTTAAACAAGGCCACTAGGGCTGCGCCGGAACTTCACTCAACAAGCAATTGCCACAATCGCTGCAGCTGCCCTTGATCTCAACATCCCTGCCTCGTGGCTCTCCACATGCGTGTGCTTGAGACTGGGGTCTGCCA